CAATTATTATAGAAAAGTGATAATAATTGTTTACCTTTAGTGCGTGTATTTGCGTGACTAAAATGACATAAATATAGAATGTTTGCTATTTGAAAAGCATTTCGTATTCTCATTAAACGATAGTAGTGGTCGAGCTAATGGCAGAAAGTGTTATCAAAGATATTCGAGTCACTGGAGTTGAAAAACCTCGGAAAGGAACATTTCAAGAGCATTATGTAAGATTTTGCTTTGTAACGCAAGCAACTATCTCTCTCAAATGTGTTGTATTTTTGCCTGGGGTGCTCAAATTTCAGATGCATGATATCTCAATTCTCAAAATAAGTGACAAGCATAAGTCAATTTTATTTATACAAACACCTGAAATTACGTGCAATGTTCATTCTGCTATTTTTATTTTTTATATACACTGGTATTAAGTATGTTAACACATGTTGTTAAAATGCATTGAGACCTGACCAATGGAGTTAGCCAGCATATGTCTACAGGTCATACAGTTTTAGTACATATATTTTAGTTATATCATTATTTCATTAACTTATTTTAGGAATATGTAATAAAAGTTACTTACGAAAATGGTCGCGAACATGTAATCTTCAGAAGATATAGCATGTTATTTGATTTTCATGTAAGTTCAAAACTGTGAAAGATTGATAATTTTTGTGATTTCAATGCAATGTTGTATTCAATTTACTTTTATCTGTTTGACCTTTAGAATGTATAATTTATAAAAAGTAAGAAATTGAACTCATGTTTTGCTAATTTTTGGAGGTTTTTTTAGACTGTTCTAAAACAAGTTGTTGAAGACAGCTACCAAAGTGTTCTAATACTTCCTGAGTTACCTGGTAAATTAATTATTTAACCACTCAACTGTAACTAGCCATCTGTGGTAAGGAATAATTCTTTGACAGTTGCCAGGTTTTATCATTGTGGCCGCAAACTGCTAAGACTGGGAATGAACAAGGAGTTAAAACAAATGACAGAATATTGCCAGGTTTATTAATTTCTAGTGAAATTGCCAATCTCGGGTAGGTCAAAGTAAATTATAGATGCTCATTTTAAATTCAAAAGTCTTTTTTTACAAAGCTGTTGATTAGAAATTTGTTAAGAATGTTTAAGTATATTGTATTAAAATGAAAATATATTTTCAGTAATGTATTCTGACCTACCTTGGATCTCTTTAGACATACTGTACTTTTGAAAATCGCTTGTGAAACTTTTTATTTATCAGTTATTGTCTTCAATTGCATTGTAGAAAATCAAAGTTCTTCTAAAAGTTATTGCAGAGAAAGATGTTATTTTAAAATTCTTTGATCAACTAGAAACAGATGTTATTCAAGGTGAAGCTTATCAAGAAGTTGAGTAAGTTATTAGTCACAACGAACATTCCTTTGTTTTAAAAGTTGTTTAAAACAATCAAGTTTTTCATTTTAGTACCAAGAAGCAAGAAAACCTTGGAAAAGATCACACTGACAGAAACACAAGTTTGTTATTTGAACTTTTTGTTTTACATTAAACTATTTTTTACTCATTACATCTTTGTGATTAAATAATAGATGAATTAGTTCAGGATCAGTATGTTTCAATCGAAGACTTTCATACTGATGGTGTTGATGAACTTTCGGTTAAAAAAGATGAAGTTGTGACTGTTATTGAGAAAAATGCATCTGGTATGTTTGATAGCTCCTTAAATTCATATGTATTTCCCAAACGTTAGTCAACAAACTGAATCTTATTTATAAAATCAAGGATGGTGGCTTGTCTCAAATGAAATGGGAGTAACAGGTTTTGCTCCAGCAACTTATTTGCAACATGTGGATGGTGAAAATATTCAGGATGAATGGCAAAAGGCCAGTGGACCCAATTGTATGTTTTAAAAGATATTGGACTTAATACTATTTCATTTTCAACAAGTCAACATATGTATGGTAACATAAAGTGTGTGATAGCAATCTCATTTTCAAATCTTACATGAAAACTCAGAAAAACAGAAAGTGCAAATGTTTGCATTGTGAATTATCTCATATAATTTATTGTTTTCAGATATTTATACTGCCATTAGCAGTTACAAAGCACAGTCGCCTGATGAAATAAGTTTTCAGGTTGGAGATGAAGTTGAAATTCTTGCTATCAGTAAGACTGGATGGTGGAAAGTGAGGTAGAATGTTATTTTTGACAATATAGAAAATTTCATAATCAATTTATAATTTTAATTTGTTTTTAGATTTAATGGCATGACTGGTCTTTGTCCTTCTTCAACTTTGGCCATTAAGGATAACTCACATTACTACGAAGTTTGTTAAGCACTTTGTTTGTATGTTTTTTTTGCAATGTTAACTTTGTTGTTTTTTTTTTTTGTAGGACCCCATGAATGTGTACAGAAAAGCTATTATGTCATCTTTCAAGAAATATTCCCAGCGAAGAACTCCTCCACGGATGTTAGTTTTTTATATTAAGGAAACATGAATGATAATGAACGATAATGTATTTTGTAGTTGTTGTACAAATTTTTCAACATTGGCTTTTATGTTTAGAGGATCTTCTAAAAGTATTGAAAGTCAGATATATGAAAGTAGTAAGTATTTTGACATTTCAATAAGTCAATTGTAATATATTCCAAAATGCAGACTGTTTCAATTTTAGTTGATGACTACAACCAAGTAGAACCTGAGAGGTTTACACCACCTCATAGGTAATGTTTTTAGTGATCTTATTTCATTACTGTTTGAACTTACGTATACACTCTTCAAATTTTTGTTTAGTGTTGTCAAATACACAAAGATTATACCAAAAAATTTGAGGTGGAACAGTCAGCATAATTTCTCAAATAATGTTGATATTGAAACCACTCTCATCATCTTACCTTTCATTTTTTTATTTTAGAAAAGAACCTCAAACTCAAGAACCAAACAACAATCAAAGAGAAAATAGTGAGGTGAGAGGTATAACATAATTTATCATAAAAGTTTCTAAGCAAACATCATAATTTTTTAGACTACAGGGCCATAACTAGCATGAGGCAAACTCTTGTAATATAAACTCTTGTAATATAAACTCTAGTAATATGTCCCATTTGCTTTTTAGATAAAATATGTAAACGTTCCTGTCATCAAAGATGGTACTCCCCATTATTTAGATGGCCAGAAAGCAGAGGTTGTTAATACACTGCTGTTTTCATAATGATAAAATAAAAAAAGGACTGTTTCATCTATAAACACAACAGTGGCCATTATCTTATAATGTTCTTGTATAACCTACGTATTCTTCAGGCTATCAATGTACACGTGACAAGGAAGGATTACTATGGTAACGGGCTGTCTTTACGTCAAGGCGAGATGGTTCAAGTGATGTCAGTTATGCCTGATGGTTTGATGTGGAAAGTAGCTACCTTAAACCCACCTTATAAGGAAGGTCTCATACCCTCCGATCTCTTATGTCCTGAACTTCTACATCCATCTAATGTTGCTGAATCTCTTGATGCACAATGTACGATTGAAGATGATACGACACCGTTGAAGGTCTTACCAAGGTTTACATCTCCACCTTCCTTCAGAAAACCCATCCCAGTCCCTAGGACTACTGTCAGAGCAGGTTAGATTTAATGCGATGTCAAGTTTGAATTTTATATTGTCAAACACCGTCATATTTCATTTCTATCTACAGGAGTAAACGGCGAACAATTTATAAAAGCTTTAGTCGACTATAATTCGGGCCAAACAGATTTGCTGAAATTTCAGAAGGGGGATACTGGACGCTTGGTCAAAAAAACTAACACTGGATGGTGGTTTATTGAACTCAAAGGTGTCGAGGGCTGGGTTCCTGCAATGTACTGGTGTCTAAATGATAGAGTGAGCTGATCGTTTAGTCTAAAGTTTTGTAGAGTTGAATTAAATTAGACGTTAAATAGTGGTTTTGAAAAGAATGATATATGATGTGTTATTTCTAGGAATGTATTGATGAAAAGAATTTAGAGATCTCACGACTTGGTAAAGCATTTCAATGATGATTTCCATCAATTTGCATCAATTTGTGCATTTGTCAAGTATCATAACTTTTCAATAATCTTTTGCAGGTGGAAATAAATCGTGGTTTTGCGGTAAAATGTCTAGAGTAGAATGTGAAGATCTATTTGAGAAGGTACAAAAAAAGTGTCTATTAAATAAGAAATTAAAACAATTTAATTCTTATTTCATTTTGTTTGTTTTGTTGTAGCGAGGAAAACATCTGGATTTCATTCTTAGAGAAAGCGTTCAAAGAGTTAGTTTTAGAGCACAATTTGTCTGAAAGAGCTAATTTTTCAATAAGTAGTTGAATGATTATTTCTTATTTTTTCAGGTTTCGTCATATGCGCTTTCCGTCAAATTTATTGACAAGTAAGGTACATTGTATTTATTATATTCTTTGACTTTTAAATAATGTTATTTCTATTTTAGAGTTCATCACTTTCCAATCGAGATATCGTCTTCGGGAAAATTTCTTATTGGCAAACTAAGTTTCGACAGATTGTCTGAAATTGTCATACACTATAGCGTACATCCACTCTTCTATACGGAGAACAAACAGCCTGTGTCGATTGGCAAACCTCTTTCACGAGTTTAGTTCCTATGATCCAATAATCAGTGGTTCTTTTATATATACACTTCCTTACACTAGGAATATACATTGAACTATTTTTGCAGCGGTAGGAATCTGTGAAAATCATAGATAAAACGATGTAGACAAGCTGGCAAAAACAATTTTTTTTTCGTTAATGAAACTTCGAAGTACTTATTTTGACGCTCACAAATTTCTCAACTTGTTTTGTTGGTGTTACACATGACCTGCAGATCGCTTACGTCATGATAATTTAATGTCATGGTAATTTCCATGTACATTTATTAAAAGTTTACAAAACTTACAGTATAAAGTTTCAAAATAAAGATCAAGGTGAATGGTGAATTTCTGAAGAAGACAAGAGCAATGAGATGAACGAAGACATTTTTGAAAACTTTGTCACACACTTGCGCATTATTAACTTATTAAAAATCTTTTTACTAACTATTATCATCGTAGTCGGAGGGCTAAATTTCTACGTCTTATTTCGTTTTGCTACTCGATTCAATGTTTAACAGTTCATGTTTTCATTGAACAATTTGAGGAACGGTTCAGTGGTTTACAAATATTTGATACATCACTTCAGTTTTTTTAATCCGTTGAGGTCAGAGTTGCATCATGGCGGACAGTCGAACAAAGGTAAAACGTGCCTTTAAAACATTGTAATTTTTAAAGCCATAGAGATGGATGTCACTGTAATTATTGGTTTTGAAAAATTTAATTTTACGTTACTAAATTCTTTTTTTCCAGATGGAAAATATTCTTGTACGCTGTATAGAAAGTGTGGCATCCCCGAAAATTAGACAACGAAAAATTGTGTTTGTAGAATGGCTATATCCATGCATAGAAATGAAAGGTCAGTGTTGTTGTCAAGATGTTATAGCAGTTTTACTGTTTACTTCTGAAAATCTTGATCCATCCATAAATTTGATGTTTGTGTTCATTTGACTTGTAAATTTCTGTAAAATTAATTAAAACACTTCTGGTGGTTCATTTTTCAGTGTTGAAAACCATTATAGTTTCTTGTTGCTTTATAAGACGTGTGCACTAACTAGATTTATAAATTCAATCTAAGTTATATTATGTTATCTTAACAACAAGAAAGCAAATTTGTAATGATATTTTTATTTCCACTTTCTATATTGCTTTATACTTTTGCAAGCTTAGAAATAATAATCATTTTGATAATTGATGAAGCCCCAGACTTGAAATTTTGCTCACTCACTTCATATTTCTTCACATAAACACCTACAGCACCTACTTGTTTCAAGTTGGGTGCACAAAACAAACCTTCCAGTCTTAATGAAGCTGATGAGAAGACAAAATTTTCATTTGTTAGTTTTATAATTTGAAATCAGGATTTGAAATTACAATCCATAAATTTTTCTTTGAAAATTTGGCTCATTTATGACTTCAGAATTTTCCCAGTTTGGTGTGAAGGCCATGGCTAAAATCATTGAAGCAACATTATATTTATACAAGTATGTCCTATAATAATTAATTAAGAAGACTTTTGATGAGTAGGTGCTTTTAAAATTGATGTGTGAACTCTTATGCCTAGTGATAACTATTCAAGATTTTTGGTAATTGAATCTATAAAAGCAGTAATGAAGCAACATTGTAAGTTTTGACATTATTTTTAGTGAACCTTATATGATTCTTAATAAACATAAAATAACTCTTGTTTTATTTTATTATTTAGCCGTTGCATTTCAAGAACCATTTGTCAAAATGTTGTATGATATAGTAAAAAACATAAAACCTGACAGAAGGTTTTTAGATTGTTTGTTGAAGTCCAGTTGTTGAAATGAGCTTAATTTCAACCTTCATCTTTTGTTTAGTTTATCAAAATGTTTCCTAGCACCATTCAAATGGAGTTGTTTGCTTACTCCCTACATCTTTGCCAATCAAAAGGATCATCAATTGTTGAAGAAGTTTGTTTATTCTCAGTCTATCTTACTTTGTACTGTTTTTGCTGGATGTTCAAGTGTCCAAGTTGCCTCAAAGAAATGGTTTCATAAAGCTCTTAAACAAGTAAAAATTTATGCTTTGTCTCTCATAAAAAGGGATAGTGAGGAATTTGTTTGTGGCTAGTTTATAGAACTGGCTCATCTTTAATACAAAATAAAACAAATTCGAAAGGACATCTTGTTTTCTTGATATTCAAGATAGTATGAGAGTTTGAAACAAAAGATGGTGTAATATTTCATCTTTATTCCAAAGACATCATCAGACTTAAAGACTCATAAGTCCATCTTTTGTTTCAAACTCTTGTACTATCTTGAATATCAAGAAAACGAGATGTCCCTTTTCGGAATTTGTTTTATTTTGTTTTACTTGAAATTGTCTGCTTGTCCTGGTAATTGGCTCATCTTTAAGCAAGCTCATATTTCCCATTGAACATATAATGACTTCTGAAATATTTGTTCAAGCAAATATGACTTAAAGCTGAGTATCCAAATACATTGAAGACTGTATATCTTGTTATTGTTATGTTATGTCATACCTGCCTAACTATAAAGCTGGGCCAAGCCAACTCCATGTCATAATTCCACCATGCAATAAACATAGAATAACAAAGACTATCACATATTGTAAATATCCACCAAATGCTACTTAATAAATATATGTTCATGTGTAGAATCCAGATGCTATGTCGTCTTACTTGGAGGAAATATTCTCATCAAATCCCTCTGTTGTAAGTCATGTCAAATACCAAGAACATTTTCATGGTATTTGTGCATGTTACATGTTAAGTCATTATAATTTTTCAGGTGTATTTACGAACTATGAGTGAAATATTTAGCTTCTGTTGTAAAATGGAGCATGGCGACATCTTCCATACATACAAGGTAAAAATAATTGAATTTTTTCATTTTTAGACAATTTCAATAACATTTGACTTTTTTCAATTCATTGAAAAGGAAAAAGCAGTTGATCTTTATGTAAACAGCATCTTTACTGGTAAAAAAAGAGCAAGTATATGCCATTTGGTACGTAAAACTATTACTAGGCTATGGAGTGTGCATTAGTATTTTACACTTTTGTTATTCCACCATTTATTATAATAGCATATAAAAATATTTGGGTTGAAGCAACCTACCTCCTTCACTCTCCCTAGTGCTTGTCAATGATTTGTGATGAAAGTCTTTAACAACGAAGAAAACATTAATAAAAAAGGCTCCATATGTTTGGTGTTCACAAAAATGAAATGTTTGCCTTTGACCTTGAGAAAAAAATGCGACAAATTTTGTCGGCACCTTATTGTACTCAGGCAAAAAATAACATGCAAAATTTAGGTAATTCAGACCATTACGTACATTGTGAGAAGTTTTTCATATCTATGAATGGTCTTTTAACATTTTACATTACAGACATCAATATGATATAACTAAATGTTTTTTCAAATTGGATCATGGTCAGTTTGCAGAATTTTATAGCTTATTAACTAGACAGCAACAATGAAAAAACGTTTTGGAGTAAAAAGTTAAATAAAAATAGCTGTCGTGTATTACCATTTTATGACCTAAAGCTAATGTATTACCATTTTATGACCTAAAGCTAATGTATTACCATTTTATGACCTAAAGCTAATGTATTACCATTGTATGACCTAAAGCTAATATATTACCATTGTATGACCTAAAGCTAATGTATTACCATTGTATGACCTAAAGCTAATGTATTACCATTGTATGACCTAAAGCTAATGTATTACCATTGTATGACCTAAAGCTAATGTATTACCATTTTATGACCTAAAGCTAATGTATTACCATTGTATGACCTAAAGCTGATGTATTACCATTTTATGACCTAAAGCGATGTATTACCATTTTATGACCTAAAGCTAATGTATTACCATTTTATGACCTAAAGCTAATGTATTACCATTTTATGACCTAAAGCTAATGTATTACCATTTTATGACCTAAAGCTGATGTATTACCATTTTATGACCTAAAGCTAATGTATTACCATTTTATGACCTAAAGCTAATGTATTACCATTTTATGACCTAAAGCTAATGTATTACCATTTTATGACCTAAAGCTAATGTATTACCATTTTATGACCTAAAGCTAATGTATTACCATTGTATGACCTAAAGCTAATGTATTACCATTTTATGACCTAAAGCTGATGTATAACCATTTTATGACCTAAAGCTAATGTATTACCATTTTATGACCTAAAGCTAATGTATTACCATTTTATGACCTAAAGCTAATGTATTACCATTTTATGACCTAAAGCTGATGTATTACCATTTTATGACCTAAAGCTAATGTATTACCATTGTATGACCTAAAGCTAATGTATTACCATTTTATGACCTAAAGCTAATATCTTTACGTTTGAAATCGTTAAAATTAAAAAGTACAATAGTCTTAAAAGGCATTTAGCAAATACGACCAATACTTGATATTTTTGTTAAAGTTTAGTGAAAAATCAATTTTGTTGTAACATATTTAACGTATCTTTTATTTGTACGCAAACTGGATGGAAAGTTTTATATTGTTTCACCAAATGAAAATATCTCCCAGCGTTATAAAATTTTATATTGTTTCACCAAATGAAAATATCTCCCAGCGTTATAAAATTTTATATTGTTTCACCAAATGAAAATATCTCCCAGCGTTATAAAATTTTATATTGTTTCACCAAATGAAAATATCTCCCAGCGTTATAAAATTTTATATTGTTTCACCAAATGAAAATATCTCCCAGCGTTATAAAATTTTATATTGTTTCACCAAATGAAAATATCTCCCAGCGTTATAAAATTTTATATTGTTTCACCAAATGAAAATATCTCCCAGCGTTATAAAATTTTATATTGTTTCACCAAATGAAAATATCTCCCAGCGTTATAAAATTTTATATTGTTTCACCAAATGAAAATATCTCCCAGCGTTATAAAATTTTATATTGTTTCACCAAATGAAAATATCTCCCAGCGTTATAAAATTTTATATTGTTTCACCAAATGAAAATATCTCCCAGCGTTATAAAATTTTATATTGTTTCACCAAATGAAAATATCTCCCAGCGTTATAAAATTTTATATTGTTTCACCAAATGAAAATATCTCCCAGCGTTATAAAATTTTATATTGTTTCACCAAATGAAAATATCTCCCAGCGTTATAAAATTTTATATTGTTTCACCAAATGAAAATATCTCCCAGCGTTATAAAATTTTATATTGTTTCACCAAATGAAAATATCTCCCAGCGTTATAAAATTTTATATTGTTTCACCAAATGAAAATATCTCCCAGCGTTATAAAATTTTATATTGTTTCACCAAATGAAAATATTTCCCTGCGTTATAAAATCTCACAATTTTTAAGAAATTAAACAGAGTGTCCGAGTTGAACGCCAGAAAATATGATAAATGCAAAAAAATTATTTTCAGAGAGACAGTTCCCCACTTCTTTATCTTCTGAATCATGAAGAATTTGCGGATAAAATTTTACCTGTTGTTCAAAAGTCATTACTACGGAATCCTGAGTTGGTTATTGCTGGTGAGTTATTTAACAGTGCAATATTATCAATTTCATTATATGAAGACAAGATTTATTCTTGGCTTTTTTTTTAAATAAAGAACATACGAACTGTTTTTGTTTTCTAGCGGTTAAATATCTCATTAAAGATGTTTCAATTGACTTATCACGTTATGTCACAGTTCTCTGCAAGACTTTGACAGGTACTTGTTGCCAGTCAACTGAAACACATCTATACTTAACTTTTTACTGACGAAATAAAGATATTCATGTTTATCTTCATACGTCATTTTTGCTTATTTCAGTGCATCTTCATGCTAAAGATGTAACCATTAGGGAAGAAGCAATTTTATGTTTTGAAAATCTTGCTCAACAATGCAGTGATTGGATGGCTATTAAAGAAATTATTGAACAATTATTTGATGTGTTAAATGGTAAATTATTTGAAGTTATAAATAGTTTGACCAATTATTAAGCATAGTTTTTTCAAATTTTGTCAGGTCGTGAGGGCAAATTGACTGTCTGGAATGATCGTCTTGCTGTTTTAAAAGGTTTTTTAAGTCAATGTTTTTTCTTATGAGTTTATTATATTTCTAATATTATTCAAACGTTAGCTATTGGTTGTACTGAAAAGAATATGGTCAACGGTAATTCTCACCATGAACAGTTAGCATGCTTTGTCGTACAGAAAATGGAAACTGTCCTTCAACAAGAAGGTGAAATAGTAGCTTGCATTTACTTTTTGTGGTTGAAAAAAAATTCAAAATATTTTTTATTTAAAGTCAACGAAAACGTAGTTTTTGAGGCTCTGGTAGTTTTGCAACGTTGGTGCTTCCATTTTCACGACAAAGTTCCAAAGAATCTTTTCAATATGTTTGAGGTATGGTTGACATATGGCTCAAAAAAGAAAAGATGTGATTATAAATTATAATAATACTATCAATGTTTATTTGCAGAAGGTTATGGAAAATAAGAAAACCACTTCAGTTGTTCGTCGAGGATATTTAAACTGTATTGCAGCATCTTGTTGTGGTACTGTTATGTTTTGGATTATGAAATTTCTTTTATTGCATAATGTCATATCGTTATTCTATAATTGAAGGAAACACTTTGAATGAAGCAATGTCAGCAGTTCCACATATTTACAAGGTTTATTCTGTACAAACTTTATTACATCATATAGAATATTTATTTATTATGATTTTGTCTATGCACAGATATTTGAGAAAGCTTTAAGTCAAAGTTATCAAGCAAACATAGTATCCGAGAGCTTGACATCTTTATTGTTATTACTTCAATTGGTTCAGTTTAATGTTGAGTTAGGTAAGCTTACAAAACGGTCTGTTACGAAATGCTGTATTATTGTTGTTCTTCTTAAATCATTTTCTTTATTGTTTGTTTGTTTTCAAGAGGATAAGTTCCCCTCGTTATGGAGCAGCGTTTATTGTGAAAAAAGTCATGTGTTTTCGTCGGCAAAGTTCCTTTCCACTGCGGATGTTGAAGGTATAAAAGTTTTTTAACGAAAATTTCATCACCAACTTTCTTTAAAGTGATTTGTATTCAGTTTTCAGACAATTTCATTTAATTCTTGAGCAACTCATTCTTCGTGTTAACGATGACAAAGAGAAAGACAGGTATTTAATATTGACTTTTATAGTATAGTGGTAGTAGTAGTCTACATTTGAAGTTAAAATTTTTCTTCAGGATCACGTCACTTAGATGGTGGTTTTGTGGATTGTTATTTACTTTAACTCATCGTAATTACAAGATACGTCATCTAGGAAAGACATGTTTCTTAAAACTTTGCTTGCTTGCCTTTGATGGTGGTAAATGGTTGCAATCTATCCTTCTTAACAAATTCAGAGAGTTTTTTCAGGAAGTAAGATATTTACCTGTTGGATTGATTTTCTGAATTTAATGTCATTCTCTATTTGCACTAGAATATGAATTTAAACGTTTCGAATGATGAAAAACTGGATCGAAAGATTCCATCCAAAATTTGGAGTGAAGTTTTGTACAATATTGTCACCATTCCCTTAAGTGATTGCGCGGATATTGCATATGTTGAAGAAGTTCTTGTTGACGTTCTGCTTGATTGCCATCATCCCTCTTTGGGTAAGTGGGAATTTCTCATAGTGAATGTAAGTTCTCTTTGTGTTGAATCGATTATCAACATTGATTTATTTATAGCAAGCACGTCTCCATATCTCTGGCAAGATTTATTGGAGACATTAATAATTGATGGCAAGGATTTAATACAGAAGAAGAAAGATAAAATATTGAAAGATCTTTTATCTAGTGATAATTTTGAGGTTTTTATTTCATCTTTGTTTAGTTAAAAAATTATAAAATCACTGTTGTAATTTTACACATTATTTTTTGCCTTATCATCACATCAATATATCATTTCTAGATATGTTTTTCTTTTTAGAATTTACCGGCCTGTGTTCGTGTTTTGATTAAAATTGGTGAAAGCGTCCTTTTTGATGATATAATAAACCACGTGATACATGTCTTTACCTCGGAAAAGTTTCAAAACGTAACCAATGAGGAAATAAGTATCTTAAAAACTCCTGAAGGCGTTCTCTTTGACAGGTCTAAACTGAAAGAGTGAGTATTTATTTAGAAATAGTAATATTGAAGTTTACTTACTAAGGTTGAATTATTTCAATACAGATTGAAGTTTACTTACTAAGGTTGAATTATTTCAATACAGATTGAAGTTTACTTACTAAGGTTGAATTATTTCAATACAGATTGAAGTTTACTTACTAAGGCTGAATTATTTCAATACAGATTGAAGTTTACCTACTAAGGCTGAATTATTTCAATACAGATTGAAGTTTACTTACTAAGGTTGAATTATTTCAATACAGATTGAAGTTTACTTACTAAGGTTGAATTATTTCAATACAGATTGAAGTTTACTTACTAAGGTTGAATTATTTCAATACAGATTGAAGTTTACTTACTAAGGTTGAATTATTTCAATACAGATTGAAGTTTACTTACTAAGGCTGAATTATTTCAATACAGATTGAAGTTTACTTACTAAGGTTGAATTATTTCAATACAGATTGAAGTTTACTTACTAAGGCTGAATTATTTCAATACAGATTGAAGTTTACTTACTAAGGCTGAATTATTTCAATACAGATTGAAGTTTACCTACTAAGGCTGAATTATTTCAATACAGATTGAAGTTTACTTACTAAGGCTGAATTATTTCAATACAGATTGAAGTTTACTTACTAAGGTTGAATTATTTCAATACAGATTGAAGTTTACTTACTAAGGCTGAATTATTTCAATACAGATTGAAGTTTACTTACTAAGGCTGAATTATTTCAATACAGATTGAAGTTTACCTCCTAAGGCTGAATTATTTCAATACAGATTGAAGTTTACTTACTAAGGCTGAATTATTTCAATACAGATTGAAGTTTACTTACTAAGGTTGAATTATTTCAATACAGATTGAAGTTTACCTACTAAGGCTGAATTATTTCAATACAGATTGAAGTTTACTTACCAAGGTTGAATTATTTCAATACAGATTGAAGTTTACTTACTAAGGCTGAATTATTTCAATACAGATTGAAGTTTACTTACTAAGGCTGAATTATTTCAATACAGATTGAAGTTTACTTACTAAGGTTGAATTATTTCAATACAGATTGAAGTTTACTTACTAAGGTTGAATTATTTCAATACAGATTGAAGTTTACTTACTAAGGTTGAATTATTTCAATACAGATTGAAGTTTACTTACTAAGGTTGAATTATTTCAATACAGATTGAAGTTTACTTACTAAGGTTGAATTATTTCAATACAGATTGAAGTTTACCTACTAAGGTTGAATTATTTCAATACAGATTGAAGTTTACTTACTAAGGTTGAATTATTTCAATACAGATTGAAGTTTACTTACTAAGGTTGAATTATTTCAATACAGATTGAAGTTTACTTACTAAGGTTGAATTATTTCAATACAGATTGAAGTTTACTTACTAAGGTTGAATTATTTCAATACAGATTGAAGTTTACTTACTAAGGTTGAATTATTTCAATACAGATTGAAGTTTACTTACTAAGGTTGAATTATTTCAATACAGATTGAAGTACCGCGAGTCGTTGAAATCTAGTAATATTAAACGAGAATCAAAGGTTTATTCTTACGAAGAACAACTGGAAGAAATAGAACTAAGAAATGTGAGTGGAATAGTGTTTGAAAAAAATATTCTATATTTTTTCACATTCAAATACTTTTGTTTAGGAAATAATGAAGAAAAAATGTTTAAATGAATATGTTCAACTGACAAAAAAAGACCGCGAGATATTGCAGGCTCAGTTGGCTCAGGAGAGTGAAGTGAGAAAGAGAGTTCAAAAAGTACGAATGGAAGTCGTGTGACTGATCGTGACCAATCAATGAACAGTTTTACTCATGCCATAAAATGATAATTTTGTGAATATAAATGAATGACAATTTTTAAACTCTTGTTACTCTTTTATGACATTAATCAAAACTTTATGTCCTTTTTCTGTTCCAATTACAGCTAGATGAAGAATTTAAACTTGTTTGCTGTTTGGCTCAATCTACTATCGCCACCAACCCTCCATCATTACGTCATCACATTCCAATTTTAATCCAATGTATGACGTCATTATTCCAATCTCCTCTTGCTGCTCCACACGTTTCTCGCGTTTTTATGACACTTGGAAAGCAAGTATTCCCAAGAGATCATCAATATTTTGGTAAAATTATTTTAATGTATCATCTAACATTTCGATTATTCAATTGTTGTTTCATGTGGTTTTTAATGGAAAAAAAGTGGAACATGTTTAGGTAAGATGCTGTTCGAAATCATTTAGATAATCATTTTTATAAGAAATATCACGTTAATTAACTTTCAGTCTGTCTGAGTAAGAAATATCACGTTAATTAACTTTCAGTCTGTCTGAGTAAGAAATATCACGTTAATTAACTTTCAGTCTGTCTGAGTAAGAAATATCACGTTAATTAACTTTCAGTCTGTCTGAGTAAGAAATATCACGTTAATTAACTTTCAGTCTGTCTGAGTAAGATAGCCACAATCATAACGTTACGTTCATTTTATTTCCGTTCGTGAAATGTTGTGAGAGTTATCATTTGATTTATAGCTAATGGCAATGGAAATGTATTGGAAATGAATAGTGATATAGTTTATTTAATACTTTAAGGTGAACGGCTTACTTGGTTGATATTACAGTTACATTGCAGTCTATGTGAACTTGATTTAAAATGGTCGGAGAAGTATCTGAAAGTTGGAGTGGAACGACTTGTGAATGATCTATACGAAATGATTGAAGATAAACTGAGGTTTATGGGATATGGCTTTTGTTTATTAGATTTTGATCCTCGCTTATATGCGATTATGTTATTATGTTCTATGATTTAATATGAGTTGTAAACGTTACTATAATGATTGTATGCTATCCTGTACTTTTATTTGTAAATAGATCCAATACTACCCTTCTCTCAACAACATTTACGTTTTGTTTTCCACTCCTACGTTGTGTCATCAAAGATGTTCCTCAGCCAATGGAACTGGGAACTAAGGAAAAAGTTATGATAATAATTTCACGGCATTGCTCATTGAGGATGAGTGAACGAGATATTGATGAACGATACAGTGAGGTATGTTAATAAAAGTCTCCGTTCCTCTAAATTATATTTTTAATGTTTGTATTTTTTTGTAGACGTGTGCAAATAACCTACCCCGTAAAGATGTTCTTATTTTAATGAAACAAATCATCGAAACGTATTCAGATCAACCAACGGCATCAAAAATACACGTAAGATTATCTTGATTTATTGTTGTAACGAAGGAATTTATCTGATAATCAACGACTTATTTAGCGTTTGGCTTGCGACAATATGGTTGCGTTATGCGAATCAGGCAGTGGTGAGGAAAATTGCACAATTGCTTCACTTGAAGAAATTGAGGTCTTGTTGACTTGTCTTCAGTCTCCCATCTCCATACTACGTTACAACGCCGTCCAGTGTCTAAAAACGTTAAATCTCATTCTTACTCCTATGGAACCTGATTGTCAACAAGTTTTCCCTCTTGTTCAACGAGTTTGGGTGGCAAAGTTTGATGGTGATCATTCAACTGCAAAACTGGCTGATAGGTTTATACATACCTCTCTATATTTCATGAATTAGACGTTTTTACATTTAGAGTGATCACATATTTCTTTGCGTTACATTACGTCACTTCAAATAACTTTACTGTAGACTGTGGACTGAGATGAGATATTACGTACAAGAACGTCTTTGTCATAATCTGGTTAGTGATATCATTAGCGACGTCGATGATATCCAGCAATCTGCCAGTAATGCATTGTCAGCAGCTTTAGAGTATCATCCAAATATTACCGACGAAATATTACACCTACTCATTAAAGTTTACAACGAAAATCTTGAGGTAAAGTAATAAATAATAATACATTTAAACAAAGCAGTGTACCTTAAGGTAAAGCAATGTACCTTAAGGTAAAGCAATGTACCTTAAGGTAAGGCAATGTACCTTAAGGTAAAGCAATGTATCTTAAAGTAAAGCAATGTACCTTAGGGTACGGTAATGTACCTTAAGGTAAAGCAATGTACCTTAAGGTAAAGCAATGTACTTTAAGGTAAAGCAGTGTACCTTAAGGTAAAGCAATGTACTTTAAGGTAAAGCAATGTCTATACAGCAAAGTTATAGTGACAAATGTTTCTGTGTAAGTACATTTGATCCTCAATTGTGTGTTAATGTAGATTCCAGCTTTAAAACAAGACAATTTGGGGAGAGTAATTGAAGAATCCTTTCCTGATCACTGGAAGAAGAGACGAGGGGTTGCCGTGGCATTATTGAAAATAGCGTCTTTATTTAAATATGATGAGGTGCGTAATCTTTATAATAATGATACAAATATCATTTCATTGTCGTTGTTGGTTTTGTTGATTGAATCCAACGAATCTTTTGTGAATCTTTTATACAAATGTTATATTCAGGATTGTTTTGTTTTGTTTATAAACTCCAATTTAATAAAATCTTAGGCTGTCACATTGTTTACCTTTTTTGTGACGACTTCATTGGGTGATAGAAATGAGAAAGTTCGTGATGAAATGTTAAATGCTGCATTAGTTTGTTTAAATCATCTGGGAAAGGTTAGACAATATTCATATTCTTAATGTGATGTTTCTCATTATGTTGTAACTGCTGCACTGTTATAAACCAAACGAAATTTTTGTTTTTTGTTCGGATGTCATGTTTTTACAGGAAAACACTTCATCTTTGCTCGCTATATTCGAAGATTATCTTGATATGGCACCCGATTCGTCTTCACATGACGTCATTCGTCAGTCTGTCATCATACTGATGGGAAGTCTAGCAAAACATTTGGATAAAGATGATCCCAAAGTAAATGAAGTCAATGATAGAGTTTGATTTTGACGGGACGATTTTTAATCTTCTTTTTGTTTTAATAGGTTCAACCAATTGTGATGAAATTATTAAGTGCTCTTTCTACTCCATCACAACCTGTAAGTCAACTTTTTATTCTTCTTCTATAGATATCTTAATACAACAGTCTGATTTATACTTTAGGTACAAGAGGCTGTTGCAAAATGCTTACCTCCTCTTGTTCCAGTCATTAAAGATGAAGCTTCTGATATTATTAAAAATTTACTTACTAAGGTTTGAGCCTTATTTCTTATTGTTCTTTTATGGATTTAATATCTGGCTATGTAATGATTTGTGTGCGTCGTTCTATCAAAATTATTTACTTACTGCTGTATGATTTAATGAAATATAATTAAATACAATTTTTTATTTTGGTATTTCAACTGTGATCAACGTTAAGTTGTCACTTACTATGCCAATCCTTTTTATAGTTACTTGATTCCACAGTTTATGGTGAACGCCGTGGAGCTGCTTATGGTCTTGCGTCTTTTGTTAAAGGTTTGGGGATTTTATCTTTAAAACAGCAAAATATTATAACAACTTTACAAAACGCCATTCAAGATAAGAAAAACTACAGACACAGAGAAGGTGAATGATAATAATTAATGTGTATTTATAATCGTTGGTTTTAAATAACTGCTAGTTTTTTTTTACCGTAGGTGCTCTATTTGCTTTTGAACTTCTTTGTCATATTTTGGGACGTTTATTTGAACCATATGTTATTCACGTTCTTCCTTCTTTGTTGTTATGTTTTGGTGACGGAAATAAGTTTGTTAGAGAGGTAAGTAAATCATTAAGGAGAGATTTTTCTGTTTACCTACGTATATAAGTACCTTTCTTCTTCTTGTCAAACAAATATGATAAAATATGTTTGTTTTTAGTGAGTATTGTTGTGTGTACTTGTATAATGAGAATCATGAATGTCCCATCGTATTCATATTTTTGGGATTTAAGGCAACAGATGATACAGCTCGGGCCATGATGAGAAATCTTAGTGGTCATGGAGTGAAGCTTGTTTTACCTTCATTACTTAAAGCTTTGTCGGAAGATGCTTGGCGAACAAAGACTGGTATTTTCTTTCATTCATTTATTTATGTTATAGTACAGTATACATATATCTATATTATTTTTAGGAAGTGTGGAATTACTTGGTGCAATGGCTTATTGTGCACCAAAACAATTGTCATCTTGTCTACCAAGCATTGTACCACGCCTTCTGGAAGTTTTAACTGACCCCCATTTAAAAGTACAAAAAGCTGCTTCACAAGCTCTTAATCATATTGGATCTGTTATTAGAAATCCGGAAATACAAGGTTCTGATGTATACTTTTTATGTCCAACACTTTTTCTTACCGTTATATTTTCATATTCACTAATTCTCCTAAACAATGAACCATGTCATCTACTTCAGTGTGTTGTTGATGAATGTATGATATCAAACTCAATCCTGGCAACTCTTTACTTCTTTAATTTATTTATTTTAATACGTTGCTCGCATTTTTAGCCATATCTTCAGTCCTTCTTGAAGCCCTTAGTCATCCAACCTCGAAAACAACTGAAGCTCTTCAAGTTTTATTGATGACGTCGTTTGTTCACGTGATTGACGCTCCCTCATTGGCGATTATAATGCCCATAATCCATCGTGCGCTTGCATCAAGATCAACCGAGACAAAGAAAATGGCCGCCCAGATTATCGGCAACATGTATTCTTTGACCGATCAGAAGGTTTGGCCTTTTTTAACTAAAAAAATTTAATATACATATATGCCTCATGTAATAGTTTGTGTCAAATTGGAAATCTAGGATCTCAATCCATATTTATCTTCCGTTATCCCTGGTCTCAAACAGGCTTTACTTGATCCAGTTCCTGAGGTAAAACATTGTGTTTTGGTGATGCATGCTCATTCGTGATGAATGTCTGCATTTTCATTATTTTTATGTTGAGGTTCGTGCTGTGTCCGCCCGCGCACTTGGTGCACTTGTCAAAGAGCTTGGGGAGGAAAATTGTTTGGATTTGTTACCATGGCTTATGGAAACTTTAGTCTCTGAGACTAGCAGTGTTGATCGATCTGGAGCTGCTCAAGGTTGGTAAAATTGAACGACACTTAAAACATGTGTTATCTTGTTTTACTTTGATTTTATCTTCTATTTGTAGGTTTGAGTGAAGTATTATATGGTCTGGGTTTTCATCGTCTTTGTGAAATTATGCCAGAAGTAATATCAACAACGGAGAAAATTGACCTTCCTGCTCATATTAGAGAAGGATATCTTATGTTGTACCTATATCTACCATCAACATTTGGTGATAGATTCATGTCTTTTGTTGGAAAAATTATTCCATCTATACTCAAGGTAATTCTTACTCTTCAACACGTCTTCGATACTTCGATACCTTTCTTATAATTTTGAGTAAAGTTTTTTTTTGCATCAGTGATTCGGCAGTATTCACTGATCCTGCATGCAAAAAGTATGACTTTTGTAGAAGTTTTTTCACTGGTAATTAATTATGCACTTGATTTTAATTTCTTTGAGATTGATCACTTTTAAAATCTTTCTTAAATGGTTCTTTCAGGGTTTATCTGACGAGTCTGAGTTTGTTCGCGAGACTTCCCTAAAAGCTGGTCAACGTATTGTAAATCAGTATGCCAGCACTGCGATAGAAGTATTTCTTCCTCAACTGGAAGATGGACTTTTAAACGAGAACTGGAGAATACGAATGTCTTCTGTTCAGTTAATGGGTGATCTTTTGTACAAAATATCAGGAGTTACTGGAAAGATGACAACTGAAGGTGAAGAAGATGATAATTTTGGTACAACATATTCTAATAAGGTAGGTAAAAATGTTTGTTGTGTTAACTTTAAAGTTAACTACAACATATTTATATTAGTTATGACAATTATTATATTTAATTTTCTTTTTTCATAAAAAATGCGTTTATTTTGCCTTAGTAAAATTTGAAAATTTCCTAAGAAAGCTACGAATTATTTTTACTTAAAAGAACTGTTTAAAACCAGAACACTAAACCCAATAGTTCTAAAAGAACTGTCTTAAAGCTGAAAGACACTATGCATTTCGGCAGACTATACTCATCACATGTCAACGTTTGCTAAATAAGAACTTAAAATTATACGATATTTGAAGAAGTATCGCATAACTTACCATTATAAATTTTTTTCAATAAGGTCATTATCGAACGATTGGGTTTTGAGCGACGTAATCGTGTATTTTCTGGCCTTTATATGGGCCGTTCTGATGTTTCATTACCAGTCCGTCAAGCTGCTCTACACGTCTGGAAAGTGGTCGTTCCCAACACTCCTCGTGTTTTGCGAGAAATTTTATCGACGTTATTTTCTCTCCTCTTGGGTTGTCTTGCAAGCAGCAGCAACGATAAACAGCAGGTAATTCTATGATACACTGGAATATATGCCAAAGAAATGCATCATTTTTTTCAATTTTATATGGTGCGCATTGCCTCTGCAATGATTCTTTTTCTTGAATTATAAAACAAAAGATAGCTGCGCGGACCCTTGGCGATCTTGTTCGAAAACTTGGTGAAAGAATTTTGCCGGAGATCATTCCAATCTTTGAACGTGGTTTAAAGAGTAACGAACGCGAAAAACGACTTGGTGTATGTATTGGCTTAAGTGAGATAATTGAATCGACATCAAAAGAACAGGTAAAGTATAGATTTGTTTATTATAGTTGGTCTCTTCCTCTCCTAGTGCAACTATATTTCTGTTTTCTATCATATCATCGCTATCTTTCCTTATATTAACACTGTATCAACTTTACCGCATTTTCACTCTAAAACTCTTCAACTACGACCATTTTTATAGGTTTTGCTCTATATCGACTCCGTTATTCCAACCGTACGTCAAGCGTTGTGTGATCCATTGCCGGAAGTCAGACGTTCAGCTGCCGAAACATTTAATTATCTCTTTAAAAAAATTGGTGCAAAAGCTTTGAACGACATTATTCCAGATCTGCTACAGCAACTTGTAAGTGGATTTAAGATTTTGGTAAAGCTTATTGTAGTCAGTTTAATGTTTGATAGAACTGATTAACGTTATCAGGCTATCAGTTCGCTTCATGATGTTACTATGGATGGTTTACGAGAGGTGATGGCCGTGCGGAGTAAAGAAGTTCTTCCATTTATTATTCCGCAGGTAATGATCTAACTAACGTTTCTCTCATTATAATAATTTTTTCTTCTGTATTTTTTTTGTCCTTATATGTTTTAGTTAATATTACCTCCAGTTAGTACTCAAGTTCTCGCATCGATATCTTCCGTTGCTGGTGATTCTTTAACGGATTATTTAGATGAAATTCTTACAGCTTTAATTACTGCTCTCAGCAAAGCTACTGATGAAAATCAACTTAAACAGGTTTGAATAGTTTTGAAATTATATTGAATATTTCAGTTATTACTCGGTGGCTTCGATTTTGTGAATTTTCAATGATTTTAATGCATACTGTTTATTTCAATAATTTTTTAAGGACTTGGAGAATTCCCAGACATTGATCTTGTCGATTCACGATACTCGCGGTTCTAAGATAATTCTTGACATTCTTATTAAGTATTCTGGTGATGTTTCGTTGCAACTAAGAAAGGTTGTTAGTTTTTACTTTGGTGCAGCTCTTGTGATACTCGAATTCCAAGTATTTTTTCTTTACAGGCTGCCATGAGACTACTACTAACATACTGTGCTTGCACTAAGTATGACCTGCTTCCTTATATGCCGTTGCTTTTGCAATGCATTTTGAAAAGATGCAGCGACTCAGATGTTGAACTTTTAGAGATCAATTGGAATACTCTGGACTCTGTTTGCAAAGTACTGTTTTTTACAATTTTTGATAGAATGTATTTTATTCATCTATTACTTGCAGTTTTAAAAGCATAGAGATTGCATTCAACAATTTAGCGTCTTAGTCCGTCTGAGCAAGTTGAACATATTCCTCACGTTCGCTGTGCTATCAAATACACATGTGATGCTGTACAAGGAGATTTACCCGGATTTTGTCTTCCTAAGAAGGTTATATTTATGTGACGTCACTGTCGAATTTATCAAAAAAAAATTTTCATGCTTTTCATATAATCTTTATGCAGGGTGTTGCGCCTCTTCTGCCAATATTCCGTGAAGGCATTCTAAATGGACCGCCAGATGTGAAGCAAGAAGCAGCCGAAGGCCTAGGGCAGATAATAAATTTAACCTCACCATCCGCATTGAAACCATCTGTCATCAATATTACTGGTCCATTAATTCGTATACTTGGAGATCGCTTTAGCTGGAATGTGAAAGTTGCTGTGTTGCAAACTTTGAAACTTTTATTAATGAAAGTAAGTGGTATAGTTTTGTTAAATTGATGTGAAAGTGAAACTACATATTTATATTATGCACTTTTAAGGTTGGTGGTCAATTGAGGGCATTTTTACCGCAACTACAAACTACTTTCATAAAAGCTCTAAATGATGTCAATAAAACAGTCCGCATCGAGGCATCGTCAGCTTTACAACATTTAGTGCAATTGCACTCTCGCGTTGACGCACTATTTATGGAACTTAATAACATGGTGAAAAATTGTAAGGATAATGAGATAAGGTGAATCCATTTATTAGTAATATGTTTATTGGTTGGATGATTGATTGTCTTGCATATGTTTAGACATAAATTTTCCTTACTTAGGGAAACAATACTACAAGCATTTCGTGGTGTAATTCTAAGTGTTGGGGAAAAAATGGGTGAAAATCTTCGTCATAATTTAACAACAGCTTTCACAACGCTTCAATCTCACAGTGATGTAAGACAAATGTTTTTCTTTCAAACTAAGTATTCTTTTCTAAATTTTGTACCTATAAATAAATATTTATATTGATAGGAAAGTATTCGCGTGGCTACTGCTGGCTGTTTAGGAGCATTATTGAAATTTCTTCCTAGAGAACATCTTTTACAGATCATTAAAACAGATGTTTGTGGTAATAAACTTAAATGTTTCTTAGAACAGCGTGTTTCTCATGATGGATCACAACTGAGAAGTTCTAAATAGTAAAATAGAGACTTTGTCGCGGTAAAAAATTTAAAAAATGTTTAAAAAGAGCAAATACAATGGTGAATGGTCAAAATAATAATGTAATAGTTTATAGAAGAACTGTTTAAAACCACAACACTAACCCAAGTTCTTGGTTTTAAACACTTCCTTTAAGAACTATTACATTCTGACCATGCACTGTAGTACTGTATTTGCTCTTTTTAAGAAAATTTTGAAGTTCTAAACCGCATTGCAAACCAAAGTTAAATATTCATAATTATATAGTATGAATTATAGCTATCTTAATTTTGGTTTTTAACAATTTAGTTGTCGTTCACCTTGAAAATACGCTTTTCAAAACAACAATCAATTTATGTTTTGTTTTTCAGTGGACGATGCTACTGTTGAGTGGACATTACGACACGGACGACTTTTAACGATGTCATGTTTAATTTATGATTGCTCGCAAATACTGGTTGAACTCCATGTTTTTCATTCGCTCTTGAGTCACGTGAATTGTCTTTTGTCCAATGATCGTGTATGTTATCGTGCAATTTTAGCATTTATTTCATTGATAATGTTTGCAATTTTCAATCAATATCCTCTCTTCATCTCAATTATTTCATATAAATTTCAGATCCCTATTTGTAAAACTGCTATTCGATGCTTAAGCTATGCTGCTGTTAAAGAAACAAATAGTTTTCCTAAAGAAATGCTAAATTCTTTTGTGGAGGTATCTTACAACGAACTGTTTTCTCTCACTTTGAAACATTTTTTCTGATCGTTTTTGTCTTATGTTTGAACAGGGTATGCATCATACGTCGACTGAGATACGAGTTTTTGCTTGTGATGCTATTTATTACATATCTGAAAACACAACTAATATTCCTGGCGAGTTTTTAAACTTAACCTTATCAGATCTTGTGTCTCTCACGAAGGATAAAAATACATTAATAAAATGTTCAGCTGAGAATGCCTTATGCTCAATCATGAAATATGGTAAAGACGAAAGCCACTTAAAGGTACTGACACCTGACACATATTCTTTAGGTTATTCTTTTAGTGAAACTCAACTAAATATAATGTTTATTTGGTTCTATCTAACATGTACTTAATGGTCTTAATAAATGTTGTATCAAATAACCCTTCAAATAACTTAAGTAAGAACATACAAATTATTTTTAGGAATGTTTTGAAGCTGTCGAAATCTCCTATAGAAGTCGCCTTGTAGAATTTCAAGAGCAGGCAATTCCTCGAATCCTGCACAAAGGCATGAAGATTACGACAGAACTGGAAAATCCTTTTCCCTTTTGTTTGTAACTAGTAAGGAACTCAAGTCTCTGCCTGTTTTACTTGCAATTAATTGACTATGATAAACTTATAGTACCTGAAGGTTGAATAACATAAAATTTATAAATAATTTGAACAATGATAAAAATTCTTATAAAATCATGACTCATGACTCGGACCCATGACTCGGACCCATGACACCAGACCAATGACCCCAGACCCATGACACGGACCAATGACCCCGGACTAATGACCCGGACCCATGACCCCGGACCCATGACTCCAGACCAATGACACGGACCCATGACACCAGACCAATGACCCGGACCCATGACACGGACCCATGACACGGACCAATGATTCTGGACCCATGACTCCGGGCCCATGACTCCTGAACAATGACACCGGACCATGACCCGGACCCATGACACTAGACCAATGACCCATGACCCGGACCCATGACCCGGACCCATGACACGGACCAATGACCCTGGACCCATGACATGAGACCAGCTGACGGACCTATGACACGGACCCATGACCCTGGACCCATGACATGAGACCAGCGGCCCCAGACCTATGACACCAGACCAGCCTTGACCCGGTCCCATGACACGAACCAATGACCCGGACCCATGACACCGGACCCATGACCCTGGACCCATGACATGAGACCAATAACCCGGACTTATGACACCGGACCCATGACCCCGGACCCATGACATCAGACCATGACACGGACCCATGCCCCGGACTCACATGACACGGACCCATGACACGGACCCATGACCCGGACCCATGACATGAGATAAATGACACCGGACCCATGACCACGGACCCATGACACCAGACCAATGACCCGGACCCATGACACCCGGACCCATGACATGAGACCAGTGACCCGGACCCATGACATGAGACCAATGACCAGACCTATGACACCGAGCCAATGACCCCAGACCCATGACACGGACCCATGACCCCGGACCCATGACATGAGACCAATGAACCGGAC